CAATTCATTCACTGCCATTCTCTTCTTTATGGCATTGTGTAGGGATGTTTTTTTGTATTATAGATAGACTTGCCATTAATACACTCTTTTCTTTCGATAAGAACAATTTTATAAGAACCGATTAAGAACAAGCTGAGGATGAGCTTCTGCAAAATGCATTTTTCAACGTTTTTTTTCAAAAATTAGGATTTTTAGCCATGTGTGAGTACTTTTTCGGTGAAAATTCAAACTTATCGGCAAATGAAGGTTGTATCACTTACTTTGCTGGCAAATGAGGCCTGAGTACCTCCCTAGAACGAAAAAGCTAGCAATCACCCTGCTTACACTCTATTAAATAAAGAACAATTGAAGAATAAACCAGCCTCAGATCTTCGAAATATTTAAAGACAGTCATGCCTGAACCTAAATTTACTGGTTCTTATGAAAATAGAGTGTATACATATTTCATCATATTTGTCCAATGAATATTTAAAGCAAATTAATTAAAACACACTTATTTAAAATAATTTCTTCGACCAACCCTTTAACTAAGCCTGTAGCATTCCCTTGAAATTTATAAGCTGAGACGAAATTTTTTAACATGCAATATAGATATTACCATTTTGTTGTGAGCTTTTACTTACTTACGCATGTTTCTTAGTCAGGGGCGTCGCGAACGGGGGTGTGGGGGTGTCACACACCCCCCCAATAGTATCTCAATAGGAAATTTCAGGTAAAATCCGCTCGGTGGAAGAAACGCTTTAGGTATTTTAGAGACCTTCATGTCATAAAGTCAATAAAGGATCAAGCAAAGGTAGTTGCTCCGTTGGTTAAATATGATATTCCTTGATATGAATGAATATAAACAAACTAATGATTTGAATATTTGAAGATTTCTTGTTGGCACTAAATCGAAAAATCCAGGCCCCTTTTTAGGTAAAATTGTGTCTTGTGTCCATTTCCCCTAAAGTTTCTCCGTAGAAGCGTCAACTGCAATTCACTATGAGCTCCAGACTTTTTTTAATATTCAAAAGGCATGCTAAGATGGAAAGGAGGATCTAAATTGACAACCAGTGCTGCTTGTTACCTAGTTTCAGAAGTAACTGACAACATGATATTTCTCAAGACCACGGCAAGATTGTACCAGTTGTTTTATCTGCTGTTAAATTTTTTTGCAAAAAAAATTATTTTCAATAGGATTAGGAGGATTGCTTTAGTGAAATGTGCTTGAAAGAGTTCATTTTCCAGGGAAAAAAGTTGGATCCCGGTCTTTGATTGAATTGACTTAATTTTCAAAAAAGCAGTAAAGAAGGATAAGATAGCGTTAAGATATCTAGAGGCCGCCAAGGTTCATAAGAAAAGCGAGGGAATTTCTTCATATTGCGCGAAGATCCTGGAGGATTTAAATCTGAATGACCTATACGGATTTGCAGCCGCATTTTCAATTAGCTGGATTACAAGCGAACCAGCTTTAAAAACAAAGTAATTTATGATGAACTAAATCTCCACACGCAAAGGTTGTGTCACTATTTTAAAGTGGGTGTGACATCAAAGAAAGGTTTTAACAAAGAATTATATAAGAAATGATATGTTAGAAGTACACTCTTTTTATAAGAATATTGTTCATATTGTTCATAAGAACATTCTTGCTCAGAGTCACCAAATTTTTAAGATTATTATAAGAATATTGCTTAGCCTCAGCCAGAGGCGCCTACACAAGGGGGCAGCTGCCCCTCCTGCCCTCTTTGAAGAGGGGCAGAGGGGCAGAGGGGGCAAGAAGTGCCCTGGAATATAATGACCATTTTGACTACTCTCATTATATTGATATCTATTAGAAAATACAAGAAAGATGATAACACCAGCACAAAAATGCAGAGAATGAAAAGAGTGTCTGTGACAAGGTCGGCCACAAGAGGGAGAGCGGCAAAGATAATAAATGATAAACAAAAGATGTGTACCCTCAGAAGTACTCCAGGAACAAGGAGAATAAATCGATATAAAAACATAGCGGGCATTCAAAATTTTACAACCAGCCCGTTCATAACAGCCATGATTTTTATAAAACCAAATATTGTGAATAGTGAGTGACAAGGCCAATTAATAACCGTTTTCATTTATGGATCATTTCGTCAACATTTCCTTTATGTTTGGAATCTTTGATGGTAAAAACCCAGCTATATGGGTGCCACATATTCAAGTTAATATTTTATTATGTTACCCCCACCCTCACTCCCCTCCCACCTAGGAATGCTCGATTATGTTAATATAAAAAAATCAACGATTTGCCTTCGGCACCAACACTGCCCCTCCTGCCCTAATCTTGTGCAGGCGTCCCTGGCCTCAGCTCACATGTTTGTGCATCATTTTAAGCATTTGCCTCTTTTTGCGATGTTCAGAACAGAGAATGTAAAACTATGGGGTTTTACAGATGAACGTAGACGAAAGAAGGACAACAAAATATGTACCAAAGTTTTCTTTGATTATCAAACGACTGCGGTTTCAACCAAGCTTCCAATAACTAAACGACTTTCATTTAACGGCAACTTTAAATGCGAATATAAGCGACTTCGACTGAACGATACGACTCGACTCAACTCCACGGCTGCACATAACGACTGAATTCACAAACAAGGGCACTGCATAAAAATCACATGACAACACATCTTAATTAGGATAACAAAATAATTACTTCAAACAACAAAGGACTGATGACAACAATAGTGGCGATGGAATGATGCAATAACACGGAATGTTGATGGCAAGGTGACAAACAACGGAACTATCAAGAACATCAAAAGAACAGGCAACTGAATATCACGAAACTAAATAAAACATAAAACTTATTGCATAACATAACTCCCCCCTTTGAAAGACAAGCCTCCTGGCTTGCACTCTCAAACGGAAGAGAAACTAGAAAATAAATTTAGGAAATATTAGGTTACTTCGAAATAGTTCCAATAAGAATGTTCTCGTACGCTTCTTGAAGAATCTCTCTCCCGCTCTTGAAAAATTACTGCACTGTGTGGTAGCAAGCTCTCCTCAAGCATGCTCTGTGTCTTCTGTTGCGAAACAATTACATTTCTTGGGCCGATTATTTTACTTGGCAAGCCATCTGCCACATGATCTACTATCACATTTACAGGCCGCACCAGTCGAGGCGTTACTCGTTGTTGCAGTTCTTGGGCGATTGATTGCAATTCTTGTATCTTCGCATCAAGCACCTCAAAATCTTGTGGTGACGGAGCGACGTCTTTCGTAGCGATTCTGTCATAGCGAGGTTCTACCGTCTGATCAGTGACGCATGTGTACTTTCTGTCCCAACAGTATTTTGCAACATGGCCAACTCGCAGGCAACAGTAGCAGATTGGCCTCCCATCCTCTGCTCGGTACACGTTGGTGCGGTTGACAAAGGGGTTGCTGGCTTTTTCCTCGGCCAACCGTACTCTTTCAGCCATTTCAGCACACATTGTGCTCACCATATCCAACACCAGCACTTTAAATTGTTCCAACGACACCATGTTCTCCAACTCTCTCCAACAGAAGGCCGTGAGTTCCTCACACGGGGCACCAATGTAAAACTATGGGGTTTTACAGATGAACGTAGACGAAAGAAGGACAACAAAATATGTACCAAAGTTTTCTTTGATTATCAAACGACTGCGGTTTCAACCAAGCTTCCAATAACTAAACGACTTTCATTTAACGGCAACTTTAAATGCGAATATAAGCGACTTCGACTGAACGATACGACTCGACTCAACTCCACGGCTTCACATAACGACTGAATTCACAAACAAGGGCACTGCATAAAAATCACATGACAACACATCTTAATTAGGATAACAAAATAATTACTTCAAACAACAAAGGACTGATGACAACAATAGGGGCGATGGAATGATGCAATAACACGGAATGTTGATGGCAAGGTGACAAACAACGGAACTATCAAGAACATCAAAAGAACAGGCAACTGAATATCACGAAACTAAATAAAACATAAAACTTATTGCATAACAAGAATCGTGTGACTGACATATCTAGCCTGAAACATATCAGATTTGAATAAGTAAGAATACTTTAAAAATATATTCAGGCTCAAAACGAAAATTTCTTAAGAATATTGAGGCTGGACAGAGTTTAAAGTATTATTTTAAAAATAATGAACATTCACACAGCCAACTTGTCTCATTTCCCACGTGCCAAGCCCCTTCATCAGCGATGCTTACCCATTGCAAACAAATCATACGGCATACGCACTTTTCTGCTAAAAAACTATTTATTTGATGTGCAACTGGAAATTTTGGCCTGCAGCATGAAACTGGTCACCAACGTGCAATTTTCTAATATTTCCTGACTGGACATATTTTTCATGTTTGCCGTATATTTAGAAGGCACTATAACAAAAGTCGAGAATTGATAAGGCTGCAAATTATAAGTCCATTAAAAAAATGTGGCATTTTTTGTGCCAAAATGTGCCAACAAAGTTTTGGTAATTCTTGGATTCCGGGTAGGTACTTGAATCTAGATAGTTGACGATTTAGGCATATTTTCATTCCATTGCTTCGAATTTCAATCCTCAGGCTTCAGCAAAGCAAAGACCAAGATACAACTTTTTGTTTGGATGGGCCAGCTCTGATAAATAAGTGCATAACAGTCAAATTTTACATAATAAAAGTATTTTACTTTCACTTTAGAGTCTGGGCGCAGGCTTATTTTACTTATGCTACTTAAGTTTTGGGGGGGTCAAGGCCCCCTGCCCCCTCCCCAAGTATCCCGGTCCTTGAGCAAAAGCGTAGATCCCAATCGAGCGTTAAGGTAATCATTTATTATTTTTTAACTCCATGTGAAAATTTTCTGCAAACAGCCATATTCCCCAATGTTTACATAGAGCTTTGTTCTATTGGTTTCCAGACCAGGTTCGTCAACATCGAATGACAGTGGATTACGATGTCTTTATTTGTTTACATTCTATGGTCTTGGTTGCCATTAGAATCATAGGGACACGAGGGTGTTATCTTGACAATTGAATGAGATAGTGTTTTCTCTTTCACTTGACCACTCTAAATTCTTGAATAATTCAAAAGTGATGTGATCGTTCATGATATCGGATAAAAGTTTACATTTAAAGACTGCTTGAAAGTAACAGCAAATATTCTTATGGTTCTGTCAAGAAGCAATCGAGGTTTGTTAATAAAATCTAAAGCAATAATATGCAACGACACTGCACATAAGGGACCGCACACGAGTCATGTTATAAACTGCGCTTTGAGTCTTCAGCTCTGAAAGATGTGTCAGTGTAATGATTTGCAAATTGATTTAACAGTAAATTGACAGCTACGATATTTTACATTAATGTTCAATCTAGAAGCCTGGTTACACAATTCGTTATCATCAGCTTAAACTGTATTTTGGCTGCCTTTTTTCAGTTCATCAACCGTGACTTGAAAGCATCGCGCAATATTTTGTCTTCAAGGTCGCTCCAAATTTGTTCCACACCATAATGAATAGCCGAGAAAATGAACAGGAATTGGTTAATGCAAACAGCGATATTTGCTTAATTTGAACATCGTTTTATTCTTATTTTTATTATTTCCTTGAGAATCTTTCCTGTATGAGACGCAGGTTCAATCAGGTTGGGCGTTTACGAAGCAGCATTGCATTCCTATGCATTCTGCCGATTTTTACACATCAATTTTCCAATATTTCATTTCTCAACTACCAAATAAACGCTCAGGGAAGAAGGGGTATAAAGTAGTTTCGTAATTTTTTTGGCTCTTTGTTGTTGATGATCGCTCGCTAATCACCATGGTATTATTCAATCTGCACATTCAAACGGCCTGCTAATGATAGTCGTCGAATTTCACTCAGTTACACTGGTGCTCTTAAATTATGTATAGAGTTCATTACCACTGATTGATCTCCTGTCAAGAGCTTCCAACAGTGTATTCTGGTGGTTTGACAATTCTCCTAGCAGTTGTCTAATTGTCTGAATCACTGATTGTTATTGACAGTTCGGGTTTAGGCGGATCAAGTTTTCCAAAGGATAAAACTACTACTTTTTAACTGAAGCAAAATTATAGAAATGCTTAATTATCAGAAAATTTCATGAATCTGAAATAACCCTAGCTGCAGATAAAACAGGGCAAAAAGAATAGAGAATGTTTTGTTATTGTTATTGCTCTAGCAGTTGCCAGAAATATTTCTTGTCTACAGAAGAAGCCAAACAAACAAAAAGTCTACACATTGTTACATGTTACATGTTTCCCGGGGCATGCTGAGTATCTAAAGATTCTTGGCTTGAATACAAAATGCATGTGTAAATTATGTTGCAATCTGAATTAAAGTTCCCAATTCCTAATTAGACTTTCACAGCTCAGAAAGAAAGTAGAATAATAGGCAAAGACCTTTAGTTGAAAAATATATTGAAATACTCTTTTGATCTATGGGAATCAGAGGTCTCTAAAAATAAGATTGTTTCGTTTTGAATTATGTAGACATTTGTATCCACCTTCATATCCAGATGATGATGATGCATTAGGTGTAAGAAAATAAAAGTGCAAATTAGAGTTTATTAAATACTTCCATAATGTTGTGCTGCATAACTATGGATGCCTTGAAAGCTGCAAGTTAAGATTATTCTTTATTTGATTACGAAAAACAAGCAAACAAGTTGTTTATGTTAAATTTCTTTCAGATTCACATGACCACAAATGTCACAATCTGACCAGATTTTCACTTTATGGTAATACTGTCACAAAACCAATGTGAGGAATTTGTTTTGAAAATAGCACTTTCAGATTAACATCTGCCAAAAAGTCTCTGAATCTTGCAGCTGCACAGTATCCACAACAATAGGTAGATGCCCTGACTGCATACTTTAATTTTGTTGGTTGTATTTTGCAGATTTCATAAACACAGAGCCCTTCCCAAGAGCAATCACGGATAACAATCCTTATGCAGGCGGAAGGAACAAGCATCTGTATGGGCATCACCAGACACTTTTTGAAAAAGAAACTGACAATACACTGTCACCAAGATCCAAGCTGGACAGTTTTTCAAGGAAACAGCATTTTGTTCACGGAAAGGTAAATTTATTAGAACCTCGTCAGAAAGGTGATTTTATAATGAAATTTTTAGAGACACTTTTCAGGCTAGTTATTATGGAGACAGAACTTTTAAGCATAACTTAGGTCCCTTTTATGGTACATTTGCCTTTCTTTTCTTTCTATGTAAGTGCAATGTTTCATAGTAAAATGTATAATAACATATAAAGTGTTTTACAAAATAAAATGCTGAATTTAATGCTACTAAATGGTAATCATAAGTGAATCTGAGACCAGGTATAATGTAATTTGGTTTATGGTTTATGGCAATCTGGGGGGCAGAGGGGCCATGTCCCCCCAACCTTTTTGGTTAGCAAAAATATTTACAAAGAGGCCCTGTTTTGAAGCACTTAATTCAAGTTCAACTAACAGCACTTGGCCCCTCCATTTTGAAATTTGTGACATGGGCCCTGCATATGGAACAGAATTTAGGACAACATTTTGTTTCAAATCTAATTACCTAACTCCTCTGGAATGTAATTATCCTGTCATTGCTTTGGATGGCTTGAAAATATAGAAGCATGTTTTATACAATGAAACTGCCTTATTTTCCACAGTACGGAGTTATGAGACAATTATTATTTGTATAACTGAATCTTACTCAAAATTAATTTAAAGAACAGCCGTTGATCAAGAATTTAATCAGATATGAAATTATCCAGTTATGGCAATATCTATTTTCTTGTATTTGTATTTGCTGACATTTGACCTGCTGTGGATGTGACTGCTCAAGAGCCACTTGATAATTTCATTATTTTATATCTTTGTCATCTCTATGATCAATCAACAAGCACTTACCGATAGAAAAACATTGTAATATAATTCACTATTCTCCATTCAAAGTCGTAGCATAGACATGCCTTCTTTTTCGGTAACTCAATTTTGTGATCCAGGAAAGAGCCACAAGCTTGAAAGGATAATTTTATTCAATTTTGTGGATCACAGTGTGTTTCTTTGAGGATTACGTCTCCATTGTTTGAGAATCTCCATAGAAACAAAAACAAATTACTTCATTTCTTTTGCTCTTTAACTAATCCTTTTGACATTCGCTACTTTTTTCATTGACATTTTACGCCATGTACGATTGCACAGTCTTTCTATTGTCTTTATCTCGAGCAAATATCATATTAAAGTAACATCTCATTTTGTCTCTGTTGGAAAAAAGTATGCGTGTGCCAGCAGGTTGGATCAGTCCCTTTGTAAAATTTGCTATACTTGTTGCTTGATTGACCAAGCGAATAAATGACAAATTAATTTTGACAAACAAAACCCATTCTTTCCATTCCATCCAAAGCTAAGGCTTCAAGTATATACAACAATAAAACAAACTAGTTACTAAAGAGACTTTTACAAGTCTATTGAATTATCCATATATATTTATATATAAAACGGTTGAATGCCATCAGCCCTATCTTACCTTATCTTAGCCCAATCAATAACTGTTCTCTCTGTGTGTGTACAGTGCAAAGTATCTACGATGACTGTTATAAATCAACCTACAATAAATGCCATCAGCCCTATCTTACCTTATCAATCTATAACTGTTCTCTCTGTGTATATGTACAATACAAAGTCACTTCTCCTTTGAAGTATCTACGATGACTGTTATAAATCAACTTACAATACTATTTTCTGTCGTTCCCTGTTGGCTAGAGATGTTTTCTGAGTTTAAAACGCCTGCATAAAGCACTCGGTTTCTCTGGTAAACCTTGGTGCATTTCTCTTTTTAGCCATCTTGTGGATCGTCTAGCAACACTCTAATGTACGGTGGAATACCTGCAACAGCACCGTATGCTAATACGATGCAAAATAATACAGTAAGCAGAGGGAGTTATGACAGAGGTATGAGGTCGCAGCAAGAACAGAAACAATCTACAGGGTTTCTTTATGGTGAGCATGATACGAAAGTTGGCGTGCCGCAACCACAGAGGCGAAAAGAAAAGGAAGGTTTGCCACCCTGGATGGTTGACAAAACGTTGGTTGATGACTTTTAATAATACCTCATTTTTATATGTAATGGTAAAAGAGGTTAAAAAAGAGTTGCATGCGTAGAGGGGGGTGAAGAGGGCGAAAACCACCTGTAAAGCTAGACCTCTATTTTATCAGAAAACTTCTGATCTTGTCAAAAATGTAACATGGTTTTCTATTTTTATCTAAGAGTTACATTCTCTATCAATTATGCATGGTACTGAAGAATGTCTTTTTAGTGGAGAAGTCCATAAAATCTTAGTACAGAAAATAGTACGACTTGTGGCAGTTAACTTTATCTTCTGTTTATATTCTGCTTTTTCTTGTTTAATGTAGTTATGTTATGTCCAAATGTATGAAAAAAATGCTGATAGATTTTGGTCGGAAAATCTAAATTTCTTGCTCCTCCTACGAAATTTCCTCTCTACGTCAATGTGAAATTAAAGACAAATTTATTTATTGTACTGAGAAGGTTATCCTCCTACGGCTTCTTTGATACCATTAAAGTTTAACGTCTTTTGAATACTTTTTAAATTCCTTCCCATCTTTATAGATCGGCGGAAGTAAGAAAGCGTGAGATGCAGGCAAGAGAAATCGGTAAGGATACTGTCATTTAACTATTAACGTTGTATTTTTTGACTATTAACGTTGACTTTGCTGATAATGTTTTGGTTATAAATGTTAGTCAATATGGTTTTGAGGGTATCTCTGTTATTAGCCAGCAATAAATGTACGGAATTTTTTGTAGAGGAAGATATTGCGAGATCAAGACTTGAGAAAGCAAATCAAAGAGCCCATAAAGCGGTTGAGCAGAGAAAGGTAATTTGAAAACTCTATTATGCTTTCAGCTGCTCTAAGCAAGGCGGAAAACATTAATTATACTCTCATCTTTTCAACAGTGCTTTTATGAATTGTACTGATTTGCACCTTTTAAATCTGTTGATGGCTTTGTCAAGCTTAGGCGTAATGATCTTTTCCCCTGCTAATTTTTCAAGCACCTTGCATCTTCATTTATTTTTTTATTCACCTGTTCTTTACAATATTTCTTGCGTATATCAAACGGAATTTCGTTTCTGTTAATTTTACAAGGAGCATTTTGTTATTATTTGAGGTTTCATGGTTATAGACTACATAGAAGATCGGTGTATTCCCTTTGCCTAGTATCCCTGAATTAATTTAGTGAGGGTGATTAATTTACTTTCCGTTAGTATCCTCCAATTATACAAGGTTTAAGTTAGGTTGAATGGTGGATGCTGATGCACCATAGGCCCGATTCGTTCTTAATGTTGTTTATTGCAAATCGTCTTCCTTTCTCTTTTGTTGTTGACAGCCTAAAGAGATAAGCGAAATATTTTTGCTCAACAGGACTTGGAAATGCTACAGAGTTACAGACCTTGGGGAAAACCGGGAGGAGGAGCACCCCGTGTAAGTATCCATGAAGCGTAAGGATTCTTGATCGAGCAGAACAGGCTAATGAACATTGTCAAGACTAAAATCCTTGCCAGAAGCTAGCGAAAAAACAATTCTAAAATCTAAAATTTGACGACACGAGACTTACACTTCTTTTGAAAGTAATAAATCTTGATCTTCAGTGTCTCAAACCTTGTACTGCCTTTCTTTTTCAAGTTTTTTTCACAAGCAAGGCTTATTCTGCAAACTCTGGTTTTTAGGGCTTGGAAAACGACCGAAATGCAACAATGAGAACCCGGAATGTTGGACTGCTTGGAGATGATAAGGTATTGTGATGCTTTGTACGAATATCTGTATAGGATTGTTAGGGGAGACATCAGAGAGACATAGATTCATTATATGCAATCAAGAGCTATTTAGAACCAAATTTTCTGTGCTTTGTTAGAAACCTGTTTAGGAAGAACTGCCGCATCATTTTTTGCCGTCCTGTACCAACAAGACCACTTGACACGCACACTCTTATTTACTGAAATGCTACACAGTTTACATGTATTTCTCTAATTTTTTCTCGCATTAAGGAAGACAATTTTTGCTTCTTGAAAATGTGCCTAATACGTGAGTATACGTTAGGAATATAATTTGTAAAATTTTTTTTGGTTTGGTAAAGAAATACTTTGAAATACTTTCTTAATTTTTTCGAAAGGACCAAGTTTTTCCGTTCGGGAAACCAGGAGCTGGTGCCCCAAATCGAACCGAGTCAGGACGATTGAAGACAAAATTAGCCGGAGATACGACTGTACGGCTAAGAGCTCATAAAGATGGCCGTCCGGTAGATTTCATACCCATGGTTAGCATATACCGCTTTTCTTTGTATAGACAAATGATATATCTTGTACATAATGTTGCCGCTTCTGAAAATATTCTATGTGATAGGTTGTCTGTTTTTCATCACCTATTGAATCACAAGTTGTATGGAGCCTAAGTGGTTTTCGCCGAATCTACATTGAATTTTGTTTTTTGGTGCAGGAAATCTCTCTGCCTAAAGTTATTTTTCACTGCTAAAATTTCATTTAAGACTTAGTCACGACTTCGCAATGTTAAACATTTAGAATTGTCAAGAGAGCCTTTTATTCCTATTTTGTATGGGTGAGCAATTTCCTTTTCTCTTTCAGAAAAATGCGAATACAGATGAGTACAAAACTGAACTAGGTTTGTGAAATTTTTATTTGCATGTTTGATTATTTTACAGCTTATTTAGATATGCAAAATAATTTTCATTTACTTGCATACCTAAATGCAAGACATGGTAGCCCTACAGATGATTCAGAATTCGCATGCGTTCTCTCACGTTCAACAAATCTAAAATAATTGTTAAGTGCCCTTGAGCCTTTGAATAACTTTGAGTCTTTTCCCGCTTTGCTGTTTTATTCAAAAAATAACATCTGTATTGTAATTTTGCCTACAATGAAGACAACTTTCTGTTTCATTCTTGGTGAAAGATTTATAACATTTGCTTACTTCATAGATAGGCAGGCAGAAGAAACAAGGCACCGAAGACATTGGGAGAAAGAGCAGGATTTTCAGCATGACCTGGAAACGGTAGGTTGCACCATGATTATTGTTGAACCTAGTTTGAGCAAAGGAGAAAATGTTTATTTTCCACAATATGCTGTGAATATATGATTGTTCTGTATCTGTTCTAAGATTGTACTGTTTGAAGATTCTTTGATAAGGAGCACTTAGACACATAGATGAAAAACTTTCTTTATAAGAATAGTCGAACGAAACATCACCATCTTTCAGATTTAAATTTGCGTGACATTACTTTAGCATTATATATCTCCACACTTTGCTACATCATAATATATGTATTCTTGCATATGTAAAAAAATTATGCCAAATGAAAAGATAATTCAGAATCCTATGCTAAACCATTACCTACCGCTGTTTATTTAATTGTTTCAGAAATTTTTTTGAATATGTCACAACAAATTGCATTTGATTATTCTCAACTTTTTGGTAAACTTAGGCTTCACGCTTTAATATAACGTTAAAGACTCATTGCTAACAATGAGCCATTGCGCTACCCAAGCATCCCATAATGCATTTTTAGACAGTCTGAAATCAACTTTAGTTAATCCGTAGAAGTTTACTGCATTGTTTGGATCGTCGCCACGCTTGCAAAGGCCTATTGTTAGCAATGAGTCTTTAACCTCTTTAAGGCTCTTTAGGCTATGAAAACAGATTGCTACCAGAGTAGCTAAGAAATAAGGCTAAAACGGAGCAAGATGTTATTATGGCGATCAATCAGTTTGTATTAGTTTCTAGTTGAGCAGTTCAGTTCCTACCAGTCAGGTTGGGTTTATCAAAAAGTTCCGGTTTTTAATTGATATGCGTAAAAGTATATAGATTAGTATAGAGAGTAAGTTTTAACAGTGTAAAGATAGCGAATGCATGTTAGTGCCTCATCTCCCATCGGTTTCATATGAGAAGAAAATTACTCGTTGATACCTTTACATGTCGTCTTTTCTAGCTGAGGTATGATCCTTATGGACGCCCTGGTGGAGGAGCTCCCTTGAGAGCTGACGATGGTGAGTTTCTTCTTAAGGTGGACGCCTCACTTTTAAAATAATGAAGGTGTTTCGTTGGAAATCATGGTATATGCATGTACATGCCATTGTAATATCTTATATCATTGTGTTACCATGTTCATCCTGCTTAACATTTTTGCCTGGATTGATTACAGGTACACATAAAGCAGGACTTCCACTGCAACTCTCAAACGACATCTATGAATTGAGAACCAAAGAACCAAGAAACTCGCATAATTTTTCAGGGAACGGTAAGTAACTCTTGCTGGCTAAGTTTGTTTCTTTCTCGGTCCCTTTTAGTTTCAGTTCCTGCCAAAGTCCCTTTAAGTAAGTCAAAATTTATGTTGTTTTATGTTATCATTGCTTGATATCATAGACCACACGAGGCTTGACAGTGGAAATTTAATTGGTTATGGCCTTTTTGATTCGTCTTTCGAATTTTAATAAAACGTTGCCAATCTACGGCATTCAGTACGCTATTTTTCGCTATTTCCTGCCACCTTCATATTTTATCAAAGCTTGGCGAGAAGCAAGAAAATTTTTTTATCTAGATATCGATGTTTTATACTCCCGGGGCTTTGAATTTATAGTAATGTCGTTTTGAATTAATAATTACAGAATAACATTATTAACCATGTTGCATAAAAACTTTACATACGCTGTTGTCATATTTAAACATTATATTTATGGCCGTCAAGAGTTTCTCTCACATTCTACTTTTCTTTCCTTGAAAAATAAGCAGAATTTACCTTGCTTTTTATTTTTAAGAACTTTTGATTGATTAAAAAATTTATATGTTGAAAGTCGATTTTTCCCTTTTCTTACAGTAGACGAAGATTATAACCAGGTTTGTTCGTTTATTTTTCCCGTTAATACGTCACTTCTGTGTTGTATTTTGCTAAATTGACAAATATATTCAAATAAGAAAAATGATTTAATCTATTTTAATGAGCAAAACAACGCACTTCTAGAAGACCGAAATATGCAGAATGCCATGTTTAATGATTATCAACGAACATAAATAAAACCCGACAATGATACTAAGATCTGTTTTAGAATATGGCTTACTATTTGAAATTAACTTTTTTTTCCATCTTCTTTTCTGGTACAGTAGAAACCTGCATAAAAGAACTTGGGTTTTTTCTGGCAGCCTGAATAGGTTCTTAATTCACTAACTGCTGTTATACATTTACGCCTGTAAGGTTCTTAATAAGGTTCTTCTATGCGTACAGGCCTTGCACACATTAACAAAGTTTTCCACTACAAGAGCTCTCACTGACAGTTAAAACCAGCTTTATTCTTCCTGTTAAATTTCAGCCAATCAAATGTATTTGTCTTATTGGGTTGTCCAATTAGAATGCAACATATTTAACCTAACTTACTTTAAGCTGGTTTAATTTGCCATTTGAATAGGGTAGAAGAATGCCAGTCTTAAAATTCTTTTTCATTATATATAGATATAAGAACCTTTACAAGTTTCATCTCTTGGGTGTTCTTATTAAGGAATTTAAAAGATAAAATTTCAGCCTTAAGGCTCTTATAAAAAAAAGGTTCTTTTATGCGGGTTTCCACTTTATTTTTTAGTTATGTTCTACTCATTGTGTCATCCAAATGATATAGATAGCTTTTTTCGTCAATTTTTTGCTTGGAAATTTTCCATAGCAAAATGGTTAGTTTAGAATAGATTTATCCCGCAATGTTTTTGTGTTAGGCAATACTTCCAAAACCAGATGCATCGAGAAAAGAGAAACAGGAAGTTCTGAGGAAAGAATACTCAGATGAGGAAATGGTTTGTTTCTAAGAACCTTACACATTAGTATAATTGTTAAGAATCCTTGCTTACAAAGGGTCATTTTTTTGTAGAAAATCACTATTCGCATTCCGCATTCCTATTAAATGAATTTTTCGCATTCACCTAAATTTGATCAATCGCAAAATTTAAAATTTTCCTTCCCATTTAAATATATATCCTGTTAGTCAGAGTCTGAAATTTCCTTATAATCCTGACGAGTATTGTTTAAGCAATACTTCGATCTAGTTTTTTTCAGAATTTATGAGATTATTTATCCCATGGTTCGTTGATTTTACGAAAGGACTTTGCTTTATTTAAAAGGTTTTGTCTTTTTGCAATATATTCCATGGCTTAGTTTTTATTCCAAAGTCGATACTTTGCTCTTTCAAGAACCAGGGATTTCAATTTGGAATGCCAGGAGCCGGAGCCCCAATCAGGGATAAGAATGGCAAAATTGTGGCCCATGGAAGACAGACACTTGTGAAAGACAAGACTGGAGGTATGATTATTCTAATGAGAGTGGTAGTCTAGCTTTATTAGCTCGTTGTAAGAAATTCGCTTGCGTCATAAAGATGATTTTGCTTGTAAGCTTGTCATCAAGACTTAACTCGAGTCACTGTTTTCCTTTAAGATGCCCTTGCGCGTGATCGCATCGTATGCTAGCGATTGGTCAACTCACCATTCAATTTATCGTTATCATGTTTGATTGTTATTTATATTAATCCGAAACTGAAACATGACTAACAACATAATCTGAAAATTTCCCACCGACTGTGTTTTTTAATTTAATCTTTTTAACCTCCATTTTCTGCAATGCTTTTGTCTGTCTTGAATGCCCATTCATATTTGCTCCCAGTCCTCGAAATGTAGCTTTCGCAATTTCTCTTCAAGCTCTTGTTAAATCTCCAACAAAACCAAGGGAAGACTCAACGTACTTTCCATTTGGTAAACCCGGCGGAGGAGCACCAATCAGGGATGACAGAGGGCGAGTTCGTGCGGGCGTGACAGGAGCAGTCGAGAACGAGAAAACGGTGGGCAACATTTAAATCCGGGCACTGTTGTATTTGACTTGTGTTGGATCGGCTAGATCTTATTAAATTCTAAGTGTTTTTGACCACTCCTTTGATCATAGAAATACCGTAGGTGTTTGTCTCTATCATAAAGTTTTTCAAGTAGATCTTTTTAGAATATAATTGTTGTTGAAACGCTGTTCTTGAAAATTTGGAAACATGTCATAAGACCATTAAGTGTTCGTTTTTAATGCTCAGATTTCTTTCGCCCCTGTAAATTTGTTAATTTTCTAATTTTTCAGGGTAAATCAAATGCGAACCAAGAAAGTATAGAAGCAAAGAAGGAATATCTCTCCACCTTGAGTACATATTGATTAATTTTGACATTATCTTCATTATACGATCTTTAACGAATATTTATCATTCGTTCCTTATCTCACTTGAAGGAATTCCAGTGACATAATGAAAATATTTTCATATATTCAAATTTACTTTTTGTCTCAAAATGTATCCTTAATGAAAATTTTCCAAAGCCTTTGTCCTGCGATTTCTGTGACCCTTAAAGAAAATTCCACGCTTAAATACTGTGTTTAGCCAGCCTGGCCGGCTAGATATTCTTTCGCTACAGTAGATGCCAGACTGTTTGACATCTTTCTTTCTGTTTTGAAAAATCTATATTTGTCGTATAACGCTCCTCTGTGGCTGCCTCAGATCTACAGGACACCAAATCTTTTCAATTATGTTTGCACAATTTTCAGAGCTGATAGAGTTATGTTTTCATATTTTCCACTGCAAAAAGAAAAATATTTATGCTCAAGTGTGTTCGTTTGCTTACTTTTCTTGATGTCGGTGGGTGAAAGTTTAAGATTCATGTCTTTCTACCTATATGTATCTTTTTAACAGTATCTAAAAAAAATTTTTCTTCAACAGGGAAAATGCAAGAGGAAAGAGAAAACCAAAGGAATAGAGAGAAAAGTGACATTCTTGAACCGGTTTGTTTTTGTTTCAATTTTTCACGAGAATTGTTATTGTGCTTAATTGTGTGAAACGATAAGGCAAACAAACTGTAATCTCACATTTTAACCTTTTCTGCCTATCATTGCATATTTGCCAGTGGAGGATATTGAAAATCAATCCTGTTTAGTGTAAGAGGCTATTTTTCTTTAGCCCTACAGTAAAATGCAGTTATATTTGGCAAAGTGGCATCTAACTTTCATATTCAGTTTTTCAAAAAATTTTCGTTGATTCTCCAGGCACCTGCCGTCTCTCAGTGGATACAACGTGGCGCGGTAGGTCGCCCAAAGTATGATCCATACACGCACCAAATCAAGGCCGATCCTATCGTCACTTCAGATGTCACAAGACAGGTAAGGCATTTACATCGCCATTACGGTTATTGTCTTTGCTGCCATTTGCTCGCACTTGCCCTTGTAACAGGCATGCTTTCTGTAATTGCACGAGTCCAAGAATACGGTTGTAAAAATAGCAATCCGTTACAATTTCAGATCAAGTCGATTCAGATCAAAATAAATTTACACAATTTTTTACATTAGAGTGTGATTATAGCTCTATGATTTTTTCAGATTTTTAAATGTGCTAGTTTTTTTTAATTAAAAAATTATTCGATTGTTTACTTAATTTCTTTAAATCTGTTCTTTAATGAAAAAGTACGTTTGTTTTTTTCAATTTATCAATTTTTCATTACTATGATTTGAAGTCAATTTTGCTGATGTAATTTTAATCAGTTTCAAACAAAGCCTTCTAACAGTTATTTCAAAGAAGCGTCGAAAAATATTCGTTTTCTGATTCAAGGGTTAAATCCCAATTTGTATGTCTTGTTGTTTCAGTAAATTCTCTTGTTTTAAAAGTCACGAGGAAAAAACTAGAAGTGAAATTGTAATTTTTCACAGAGAATGAACATTCATCCACAAGCGTCTGATAAGAGCAGACAATATCATAACGAGCTGGATGAAATCGTTAGACAACGAGAAGAGAGGAAGAAGAAAGACTCATTAGAGCAAAGACAGAAATCAGTTGAGGTAAATCTAGGCCCACGTCTGAATGTCTTCAAAAAACCATAATATTTGTCTTTTTCTCGCTCATTATATTTCCAGAGTAGATTCTTACACAGCAGTTTTTTAATAAGATCATTTTTTGTATTTATCTTAATTAATGATAACCTAATTCAAAAAAAAACTTTATCCTAAAAATGAATGAATAAATTCCCACTCTTTATCATTACAATTAAGTTTTCCTTGCCGCCTACTCCTTCGATTTCTAAATTGTATTACTTTGAGGTTTTTCTTCCAAATATTTTCTAGATATTAATTTTAATACAATAAAATATAAATTCAATCATTTGTGAATTTCCTGTTCATTTTTTGACGCTAAACGGTTTTCCTAGCACACCCTTGGTACAAAGTTTTTCAACCTTTCCAGTACTTGAGAAGGGCTCGATAATTGCAAGACTTGATAACCTATCATGTGACCCGGAATGTTTATTGTTAACTTTGTATTGTATTCTATCTTATCTCTTCATTACAGCATGCCAAAGCAATGGAACGAGCCTGGGGGAAACCGGGAAACGGTGCTCCAAACATCGATACTAAAAAGGCCAAAAGTAAGACGTTCTCTTGGTTTTAAATTTCATATGTTGTCCAGCTTTAAATGAAGATTTTTATGCTTCCTTTTTTTCTATATTTTTAAATTTACTTTGCTAACTAAACCTGCTAACTTAACCAAAGTTAATGTATGGTAAAATTCTGTACGTTCCAGGGGATCTTTTAACATACAAACTAGCGGGGAATTTCTCCAGCAGGCCCTTGAATTTCTTACCAGTGAAAATTTCTTAAAAGATCTCCTGATACGTTCTTCTGAACCTCCAAAGATTTTAAAAGCTGAAAAGTGGCTGTATTCTCTTTCTTTTTCTTTCATTTTCTTTGTTTCCTTGACTCTACAGTCCCTTGTAGTTACGCTCTATCTGAAAATTCATGAAAAATCTTCTTAGCACATCTAAGCAGTGAATTATTTCGTTACTTGTAAATGCTGGTAGAGTTTTATTTTCATTCATCTCTCTTTTCCGTTTCCTTCTCTTAAATTTCAAAACGAAGCATCAAAAGCCTTAACCTTTTTTTGTTCTCCTCCGCAGTTGAAATGATGCCAGCCGATCATGGAATGAAATGGAGAGACAATTAGTTACCATAGAAACGAACCATGGCAAACGAAACTAAGCAAAGGGGATTTTTGTTACTACCGATGCATGCACACGTATATTTAGGTTTTTATATAGATAGTGTAACGGTATTGTCTTCATTGGCATAGGTATTAAGCATGACTTTGAAAGTTACTCTTAAGAAACCCATGCATCCTTTACTCAACAAATACAAGTCAAAATTTTCACTTCCCCGTTTGCAAGTGAGAGTCATAAAATTTTAAAAAGATAAAACCTAGAATAATCCAAAACCTTTGGGTTGTGAGAACCCATTCAAAGCCTGGGCGCTCTCAACATTTCAAGCATCTGGAATTTTCCTTTATAAAGTCTTGTCTAATGTCTATTCATTTCAATTTTATATATATATCTTAATATCTAATCAATTTGTACTCATGTAGCCTTTGGTTTTCTTCTGTATAAAGAAATACAGTAAAATTATTTATTTCAAGGCCTTACCACGATTTTTTTGATCATCTATTAGCTACAACTTCTGTTGTCTCGATTTTTCATTTCACTGCTTCGCTTTTACAAGAATCTGGGCTAGTATTTCAAATGTTAATGATAAAAGACAAGGTAATGTTTTGCTGAATTTCGTAACATTTTTTTGGAATAGGGTTGTCTATTTCCATCTTTTTTAATCCATCATTAAATGCTCTATCGATCGATATGACGTATTTGGCCGAAAAATCGCCATTTGCAAATATCAGTTTCAAAAAGTTTATAGGAATCGTAATACACAGGAGTAAAGAAACGTGAGTCTGCATAATCGATCAGCACAAGAAAGTTTAGCAGATCTGGATGTTTTACGTTTTGCAAATTGCTTTATTCAGATGCATAAAAGCATATTGTTTGCTGCGGCTTGAACTATAAACACTGCATCTTGTTATAGGCACCCATTGTAGACCTAGAAGATCTTTATCATTAAAATCGTTGCCAGTTTCTGACCTCAGTTATAATTACCCATTTGATTCCAGGAGATTAACCTTTTAACCCAGTTACTTTTTTCACACCTATAGGGTCATGTAGTCATAAGCACAAATTGGCAAACAAAGTAACTTTATTTTCAAACAATGTTGACTGATAATATAGTCTTCAATCGAGATAATAGGTATTACTGGTAAGGTCAAAGGAACTGAATGCCTGCCTTATCGAATCACCTGCCAAACCGAATGTTACCCATAGCATCTAGGTACGAAAATCTGGGCCTAAATTCTGCCTAAGCGACCTAGCAACCGAAATCGTAGTTGCATTATCGGCAGTGATCTGGCTCTTGAAAATTCATGAGATGGATTTTACCCTTTACCAAGAGGTTTGTTCTTTAGTCTATTTGATTTTTTATTTTGTTAAATTTGATGCTATATTTTTTTAAGCTAAGGTGATTAGTTCAATAAGCTTAAAGATATATTGAGCGAAAATGTATGTTAACTAGATGAACATTTACCTCTGGCAAATATCTTGTTTATTGAGTATACATCCATGATGATAAAGTTTGTGTCTTCAGCGCGAGAATCTCACGGTTGACTGGATGCACGAAAACAACAATAACCCAGTTGCCTTTTCACTGTATTAAGAGGGAAGAAAATCTGCTTAAAGGAGGATACTCATGCTTTTTTACTTGCTAAACATCCCTCAAAACATTAAAAATATTATGCCTAGAATCAAGGGTCTCCTGGAATGAATTTCAGCGTAATGCACTTTTATTAGTGCAAATATAAAACATTTTGGTATTGAAAGTAATGCATTATGCCTTGAAGCAGAAAATGATTTTGCAAACTGATATTTTTTCTATGCAAGTTCGTAATTTTAGTTTACAATAGTTGACAATAATGCTCCTACTGACACTGCTCTCTCAGTTTTTCTCTAAGTCAAATATCATGTGCAGAGTTTATCGCTAGGTCAAACGTTTAATCTAAGTTTCCTGTCTTATTAGATGAGATAGAGCCACTGATAGCTACAGCAATAACTGCTGTCCGTTTACCAATACCGATCTTAGAGTTCAAGGTCCCTTTGCACAAAATTAGTTGATAGGCTGCAACAGAAACTTTATCTCGAAGATTGCGTTAGTTGTTATAGAAGACTGGCAGAGGAAGAAACAACACAACAGCCTACTCTGAGGAATGAAAATGAGGCTTTCGAGATTTTAACTTAAATTGTTTTCATGCGGTTACCATTGCAAGTAGTCAAGATTTGTCAGTTGAGACTTTCTACGCTACTTTTAATAATTCAATTCCTTGGCTTTTTATAAAGAAAAATTTGCAGGGAATAAAGATATAGTTAAATGAAAAAACCGATAGGGTAAGCGAGTGACCTTAAGGTCCACTCGCCCTTAGATTTTTCATAGCATTTCAACGAGATTTTAACTTAAATTGTTCTTAAAACATAAAATGAGAGTCAAGTTTGAGTTGCGGGATTGGTTAGGCCTTTCGAAAAATTTAGCAAATGTAGCCTTTCTCTAAACACAGATCTAGGCTTGCAATGTCTGCGATTTGAATGTTATTGTTGAAACAAACATGATGGAAGTAATCAGAGAAAAGGAAATAAAAATTGATTCTTGGAAGAGCATCCTTATACATCCGTTTAACTGCAAATACAGTCTTAGAACACGGTAAAATTTGCCGCCATCATGCCGAAATGAAAATTCTTCATGGTTCATTGAGCAGGAAATGAACCATTTCATATTGCTTGTTATTTAATCATCCAAAAACAATAGATTAATTGTGACATGTGTTATAATCATGTCGATGCGATATATTGTTAATAGAGAAAGATTGCTTATCGTATTTCGCAACTGTTTAAGCATGTTAATGAGATTTTATCTTGCACCGGTCCTAAACCATTCACATCATAAGAAAGTTAGAAATATTTTCTCCAATCAAGCGTGAAGCCCCTCAACAATAGGATATACCGGCACGTTAGCTCGACTACTTCCTCGTAACCTTCCTAGTGGACTAGTCCATGCTCATTGTGAACTTCAAGGTCGACTGTTATTCCTTATGACAAAAGGATTGCGATGGATCATGCTGAGCAAGGAGAGTTCTGGATGGTACGTTCAAATGAATAAATCACAGTTCCTTTGATTCAGTATTGATTATAAAATATAATCAATGGCATTTAATCTAATTATGAAATATAATCAATAGCATTTACTCTAACAGCATTGAGATGAAAGATAAGCACATGTGAAAAGGTTTGCACGAGGCAAAATGAGTGTTAGTATCTTTTGCTGAATCTGGAAAACAGCGACAGATAGATGGTCATATCAACCTTTATCAATGTGATTTTTCATCGTGTTTTTTCGGACCCTTATTCTGACGTTTTATGCTCTGAGGAGTGTCAGACGAAAAAGCTTCTAGCCAATATGTTCTAAAATGTTTGCTTTTTTCAAAGCCATTTCCAAATATAAAACAAAATTAGAAATGGTACTCACTCCAGTTAATGTGGTGTATTATGTTTCAAACAAAAGAAGAGAAGCAGGCCGTCATTTGATGTTGATAGTGGCATTGGGTCTTTTTGGCCATGCAATACAAGAAAGCCCAGGTTGTAGAAGGCCCTAGGTTATTTGAAAGAAGAAGCTTCCCTGCGAGTGGAGCGAGCAGAAAATTTTGTTACCACGCCCTTTAGATTAGCTTAAAATATATTTCAGAATATTTCTAGCAGTTCTTTTTGTGCAATCATTTAAAACATTTATGTTTTTTTTCAAAACATGTTTTTATTACATTTGATTAACTTCAGTCTTAAAATTTACATAATTACTTTATAAGACCCCACAGACCTCGGCTTATTCCTTGGAATCTTAGCAGTAACAGGATTTATTGCACTATTCTTTTTATCTATTTCTTTTCCAGTATTCTTTCTATTTTTTTAAAAAACACTTTTTGCATTACGAAGTGCGTTTGTGATTAAATGTATGTTATTTTTATTGTTAAAGCTGGTTTTAGTTAAGTTTCACACGTAGCTTGATTCTATTATCTCATTTGACTCTTGATTATAGTTTGTATTCATTTGTCTTTATTTTAAAAACATACAAATCAGTAGTATTCACTGCACATTTTTCAATTCACCACAGCACATTTTCGATTCATCACTGCACAAATTGGTCATCGCTGCACCTTAAATTAATCCTTGCTTTAATACCTGTAAATACATTCGCAGAAATCTCCATTAAGGAGCAACTACTTAAGACAATGTCCAAATCATACGAAAAGTGTTTTGTTCCAAACCGACTTTTCTGTTACTAAAGTCTCCTTTAAAATAACAGCCACAAATCTCACCACCAAATGTAAACTTTGAATCCAAACGGCTCGTTTTATATGGTTACCATTGCAAGTAGTCAAGATTTGTCAGTTTTTTTATTATCTAATAATTGTTGCTTGTCCTCTTAAAAGTCGATGCCTGTTGTCTTGCCCTCTTCACCACAACCATCACCAGCATCACCAGTAGAGCCACTGGACCTTAGGGATATTGGCGACCTGCCTGTGAAACTAGAGCTACGGTATGCTATAGAGTCGAGAAGAAACGAGAAAGGTTTAGATATTCCACCTACAATGGTACAGCCAAAGAAACTGAGACTCCAGGTAACAATACTTTTATTTTATCCAGGCTGTGTGCATTATCATGATGATTATTATTCTCAATTTGTACTCATTCACGTAACGGTGAACAATATTTATCAGATCATATATAGATAAAGCTGGCATTTTGCATGTATTTGGTAAGATATCCTTCATGTAAAGCAGTTTGAGTAATGCAAGGATACTTTTCAGCTCACTCCAGAAGAAGAGGAAAGGCGAAGAGTCAGAAGACAAAGGAACAAATTAGCAGCATCGAAATGCAGGGTGAAGCGCAAAAATCATGTTCGCTGTTTAATGAAGGTATTTTGTTTGTAGCCTGTTATAGGGGACTGTTCTAAATACATCAGTGGCAAATCATTGTTAGACGTTACTGAATAAACGGCGCGGCAGATACCACTAATCCAATGACTACAAAATTGTGCAAACTCTTAACTGGTGAAAACATTGATGAAAGCAAAACTTTTGTTAATATATCTTCGCAAGAGCGTAGGAAATACAAGGTTCTCTCACTCTGGTAACCAGTAAAAAGTGGTTCAAAATATCTCAGAAGATCGATGCACAGTGTCATTTTTTTCTATCTAATCCAAAACCAACTTAAATTTTTCTGATAAAATCAAAAATTCATGATACAATTAAACACAAGTTTGAAATCAAAAAACAACGCAAGTTCTGTAAGAAATGCAATACTTTTTATAGAGTTGCAATGCAATACTACACACAAATAAGGAATTCAGTAGAAGAACTTTTTCAGTATTTCCTATTTCCAAACTGAGATTGTTTCATGAGGTCCACAAATTGAAAAACATGAGTTTCAGTGGTATAATATTTGATTTGATATGCATGGATGACGATGTTTAAGGCGATCAACAAACACTTTTCCATTTTTTAATACAAATTGACCAATCAGTGAGTGTGATTCTACTCATATGCTTATCGATTGCTTAACATTGATTGACAGATGGTTCAAGCCACTGTTATATCTGTCGACTACCTTCAATGAATTAATTTGTTTTGTTTTAGCAATCTGACGATCTTACAAGAGCCAACAACAAATTAGAAGTAGAAATTGCTAAGCTGCGTCACGAGAAAGACAAGTTAATGGACGCCCTAAAAGCCCATCTTTGCGCTAGAGGTGAACACCACCAAGAGAATAGGAAACGAAACTCTGCATAGTGAAACAAACTTAGGTAGCTACTTTGAAGAATGAAAATTAGCACTTAGAACGCAGTGAAATAGTTCGTGAAGGTGGAGTCCCGTAAGAGTGACTATAATGTGAATATGAAGTTCCTTAAGATATCAACATAACTTCCCTATTAACTGTTCATTTTGACCCCACAACTAATAGAAATTTGACTAAATAAAACGATACCCTTTTTAACAGATTCTCAAAAATGACAACTTTACTCGGATCTAGATTAAAAAATATGCTACTCTGGCGTTGAAGTAACTTCGCTTAAAGGAATGTATTGTTGTAGGTATCCGTTTCAAGTTTGTATTTAAACGCTTTATAAAAAGTTCAGTTGTTTCAGAAATCTTGAAAAGGCTCAGGTTGGCAAAATATTGTCAATTTTACGCAAAAACACCCACGAATGGTATCACACATACCATTAGGAACCCATTTTTGGCAGCTCTTGACTTCAACATGACATTGTATGTAGATGACTTTGAAACGAATCATTTCTTGATATTTTGTATTTAGTTTTTCATATTCTTCTGGAAGTGTTTAATATTTGCATTTTTGGGAATTTTTCTATTTTCTCTTTACAAAAGAATTAATAGGGTTTTGAAAAAAGATGTTCTAAAAATTTGTATACAGATTCTTAACTTTTAAAATTTGTAAAGTTTGAGATTTTCTCAATTTTTCATACATGTGAGATGATTTTCGTGTTTTTATGTTTTTGTATCAACAAACAATCATTGTAAATAGTTTAGTGATAATGTAAATTTTTTTGTGAATCATGTTTTTTCAAATTTTTTTCTTGAGAAATGATGGATGATAAAATTATGATATGAACTTGGGCTCGGTTTTTTTCGAGATCTGATCAAATTTTTTTATCCAAGGAAATCAAATATGGGCCACTATGGGCAGATAAGCTGAAAAACCAAGTTAACGAATTGAAAAATACAAAAAAATATTGATCCGAACACTCAAAGTTTTCTTATCAGCTGCTCTGATATTCTGAGAATTGTCAGACAGAAACCTCAATCGGTAAATTTCGGCGTTTTAAACATTTCATGAATTTATAAATGACAGTTAATAGCATACAGTCAACTTTGGTCAAACTATGTATTGTGGCATCAGTCATTATCTAATACACTGCAATGATGCCTAACGCTATTTCTTCTTTGTCTTTTTCTTGCTTTTACCGCCTTTTGCTGACTCATTTGGGTCTACGCCCTGAGCTAAAGCCAGCCTCTTCTTCAAGTCAAGAAGTTTTTCAATCTCCTTTGCAATCAAGTCTTTCTCTTCTTGCTCTTGCTTCACTTTGCGGACAATCGCCCCCTAAAAGCAGTTAAAGTTAGCAATACCACGTTTATTCAGACTTTTGCTAACAACAGAAATTGCAAACAAACATCCTTGTTTTTCTACAAAGTGGAGGGTTATAAATATCTTCTAAAAGTTCTTTTAGAAGATTGATGGTAAATCAAGGTGGAAACATAAATTTTGAATCGGCCTTGCAATATTTGTTGAATCAAAACAACCCTTACTTTGAAACAAAATACGCCTCTGGTACAACAAAATTTAAAGTTACTAGAATGTTATGTCTCTACTTTTCCGTGCTATTATCAAAGCTATATTGAGCAAAATCTAAAAAAGTTTTCAAGCCAGCACTTTTTAGATAAACTGAAAACATTTTAGCCTTAACCATAATTGACAGGCTAGGTGTTATGAAGAAGTCGATTTGAAATGCCACATCCATATGGCTCCGAGCCATATGTAAACGACTTTCCAGACTTGGCATTTTACAATCAACAACCAACAGCCATCAACACATAATTCCCAATGAATAAGCTTTAAAGAATCAAACTTGTGTTTTAGTAATCCTAAATAAAATTCTTAGCTGACCTGTTTGGCAACCTCTTCTTCAAGTTTCTGGATGTTCTCTTTGTCCTCGCCAGGGGCACTAGCTGCTGCTTTTAGCTTTTCTTTATTTTCATTTGCTTTCTTTTGCTACAAAATCAAGAAATTACGTCATCGCCAACAAAAGAGAAGAAATGTATTATACATCGTCGTTCTTGTATTTCACATCATCAACGAAATTATTCCATAAAAATTGCAATTACTAGAGAAATAGATCTGCACAAATCATAGCAACCACTGATTGAGAACGATCAAGTGATTGCAAACATGCAACATGCTACCAGGTAATGTTTACCTGCAACTGTATCAGAGTCATTGCATATTGACGAGTGAAATTGCAAAGGAAAAATTATAAAATGATGTTCATAAGTAATATTAACTAAATTGTTCAACCCATTGATACTCCGTAATGCAAAAGCCACTAAAACTGGATTAAAAAAAGATTCTAAGCGAGCGACACAATAAGTGGAAGAAACACGAAGATGACAAAAGACTCACTGCTGTTGTTGGTTTTCCTTTACCGGCAAATTTTGCTTTCATCATTTCCCCGAAAGAAACGTCAATTTTCTGGAACAGTGGACTTGGCTAGAAAGGAATCCCCACTTTTGTCACATATAAATTAAAAATTTGGTTACAATCATCAACATCTAAAAGGACCAAGGAGCACAGAAAACAAGGCGGCCACGCGGTCAATTGCCGTGAGGAAGGCCACTTTAAACAAATAATACTTAAGTACCACGCCCAGACAACACCCTGTTTTTATTGATTTTTCTGATGAAAGTTTTCAGAACTAAGAGGCATTGCCCGGGGGAAAGGTGGACACATTTCTGGATCCTGATAAAGTCATCAAAGTAAAAAATACATTGGTGGTAAAATTCTTAAAACAAGCTGAATTACGACACAATATGTGAACTTTATCGACATATAAACATATTTTAGCACTTAGATACAGAAAAAAGGTTCTCAAATTGCATCCTTTCGAAAAAAAACTAACATAACTTCAACTTTATTCGATGCTACAAAAACACCAACAACTATTTCGCAACATCGAACATCAATTTTGCATAAATTATATACAGAAAATCTCAAAAAATCATAAATGCAAATTGGAATCAAATAGAAACGCATATTGAGTATTTACAATTCCAATTTTGTGTCCAGCTTCAAGCATGGGGACAAACGATTCAACCATGATCACGTGTTCTTTTGGCAGCTGAAAGGAATAATGAGACAGAATTAAGAATTTCATCAATGGGACAACTTTTCTAAACAAACATTATCAACTTCATAATTGGCACAAGAGGCTATCATGGATAACTTGGAGGTTTAAAAGCCTTGAACTGAATCCCGAAGCATGACAGTTAGAAACACATGGTTTGTGAAAGCAATAGTACCTGAGTCTGGGAGCATATCTCATCGCTTGTCATTGGCATGTATGGCTTCAAAAGCACACCAAGAAGAGCACCCAAATTGCAGGCCAGACTTATCACTGTGGCAGCACGGGCTCTGTATAGGAAAGCGACAATTATTCTTTTCCAACGCCATTGATTTTCTATTCTAGCACGACTCTGTCGTTAATTCAACACCCCCTCTTAACATATATATGCAAAACAAGAAGCATCTAAGATCAACATTTCAAGATCAGAGAAAATATTTTTTTAAAGCTTGCACGAAAAATGCCAGAGAAAAAGGAGGGATGATTTCAGTTAAAACTGGCTCAATCAGAGTCTAGAAAACATGAGAGTTCCGTGGCTACGAGCTGGGAGAAAGTCGTTTTGAGAGAAGACGATGCATACCTTTACAATAGTAGATAAAGTGCAAGGCAATTACCGCTTTGCCTGCATTTTTTTCCTGACTAAGCGCAATGGCCAAACCATAGATGATTTTACTTACATTCCATTGGTAAAAAACATTTATTCAAAAAATTCAAAAAACTTTTGATGTAGGAATAAAGTGCGAAACTTTATTCGGAGGAAGGTTGAGACGTTCTCTGAACTCTGGGCTCAATATTTCTTATGAAAACAAAAGGTGCTCGGATAAAAACTACCAAAATAAAGAAATCCACCATAGCAAGGTTGCTACATCAAAGCGTACCACATTAAGTGTACCATATCAAGTTTACCACATTGAGCTAACCACATCAAGCTAGTCACATCAAGCTTACTATATCAAGCTTGCGATATCAAGTTTACCATATCAAGTGACTACATCCAGCTTACCATATCAAGCTTATCATATCAAGCTAACCACATCAAGCTTACCATATCAATCTTACCATACCAAGTTTACAATATTGCGTTGACCATATTAAGCTTACCGTGTCAAGCCAAACATCATATCAAGTTTAAAATATCAAGCTTAGACTATCTAACTTGTAACGATTAGCTTACCAGATCAAATAATCAACGATCAAACTTACTTTTCTTGTTCATTTCCTTTGACTAAAACCCAGGGTTTAGCGGCCTGCATATACTGATTTCCAGTCTTTGAAATGCTGAGAATGTGCCTCAGCCCATCTCTAAGTCTAAAAAGAAATGCAAGCAACCTATAGAATAATGCCAATCAAAACTGTCCAATGAGCTATTGGATCAGTAGCCACAAGCGGAATATGAAGATTAACTTTTTCAGCGCCAATAAAAAAGAGCGACAAGAGGGCAAACTAATTATGGTATCAACACATTATACATCACGTCTATTGTTATCGATTATATTTTCTACGTAAAAATTAACAAAAACTTCCAGAAACTGCTTCAAGATTAAAATCCATAAAAGTTGAAGAATTTTGTTTGAAAATTCTTTGGTCTGTAAACTTCTGAAACTCATTGGGTGATATATAAATTTGAGTTGGTACTCGGCAGCAGATAAAAATAAGCAAATTGAAAGATAGGCGCACTTGATTGGTCTTGTGTTGTCCAATCAGGGTCCTTTACCATCTGGCGTGGATTTATAATCATCGCGAGAGACGATACACTGCCGTCTAGGCAATCATAGGTAATGTAAGCTAAAAGTTCTATAAAAATTTTGTAAATAAACCTTTTAGATTATCGTGTCCGTATATTGAATTGATAATGCAAAAAAAGACAGCTACAGCAAATGACAAACGTGATTACTCACTTTATTTTCTCTAAACAGTCAACGTAATTTTTCAAATCTCTATTGACTGACGCTAAAAATGCTTCGTCTTCTGCATTCAGGTTTATGGGTTGTATTGTGCTGTCAAAATAGTTCTTCAAAAACACCAGGGCCCTGAAAGATATACAAACTAGATGAAAAATCTGGACTACTGGAAAAAAATAAAAGTTGAAGACAAGGGAATACAAAAACGAGCTTTGCTGACAATGATCTGGTTACTGAAAATAACTGAAAAGAGCTGCAAAAGATATTCAAAAAGAAGTATGATCTGGACACCATACCTAGTTCAAAGTGAGACCTTGGTAAAGATTCAAAACAAAAATTCACCTGTTGATGAAATTACCAAGATTGTTGAGCAACTCTGAGTTGTTCCTTGTCACGAAATCTGCCCAACTGAACGCACTATCCTAGAGAACATAAATGCATTTGTAAGGTTCTTTAAACCCAAAAGTAGTTACGTATGTTCATTGTGGTAGTGTACCCAATAAGAGGAAAGATCAAATGCGTGCATATATGACACTGACATTTTCAGGATTGAAAGAATAGTTATTGATTTTTGCAAGATTTTTAATTGAAATTTGAAAGGTTTTGGTAAAATTTTCAACAATAATTAAACCATTCAACAGACACAATTAAAAATGTAAAAACAACGCTTAGAAGTTGAAATTGAAAGTGAAACTCGTATGAAGACATTATCAGGTTGTAATCAACATATCATAAAATGTTAGAAGATGTTTCGGCATCCTAATGGTGGTCGCTTCTAACAGAAAAACAACTTTCCAAATAATACCTGGTTTTCTGGACGCAGCAACAAGAGATAAAATCTAAAAATATCTGCAGGAATTCCCGTTTCCTCAGCGTTATCACCAAAGACACCAACACCTCGGCTTTTGGAGAACTTGTCATCTTCATAATTCAAATATTCTAAAAAAGAATAAAAATAAATGGTCGATATTTACAGGGCATTCAATGATAACAGTTATGAGGGATTGCCTGGAAAAGAAAGAAAAGTTAATTGCTGCAATGAGGAAAACAGAAGCTGAACGCAGATGAGCAAAAACATCAGAATATGAAGAAAACGACTTGATAATGTCAAAAAAGAAGTATATCAGAATTCACGAAAAATTTACATGAATAATTAGATTCACGAACATAAAAACAAAATTAATTCAAATAGCCTTTGTAAAATAATTCAAAGTTTTGGTATGGGAATATGGGTTTATTCTTGAGAGACAACTCAAATCAGTTTACCTGTGGCACTGATATCGTTCAGTAGGGTGTAATTGTCATCGGCACCAAGGAGTGAGCACGGGAAGACGACAGTGTGAAATGGGACATTGTCTTTTGCCATGAATTGAATTAATCGTACCTGATAACGAAGAATTGTTTGAGAAGAAAGTGACGGCATATTGCTAGTGAATAAACGAGAACAGAATCTTTAAAGGTACGTTTAGTTAATTATATACTGAACATGGTAAACTGCATCCAAAAGACTCATTCAGAACCTAAAACTACAATAAATATGGCTACATACGCACCTGTTCAGGGTTTTTCCACCATTTTTCCCAATGTTCTGTATAATTAGCAGTGATAGATAGATACCTGAAATCAAAATACACGGGGACGTAGCGGAGGTAAAATAACACTGAGTTAAATGCATTATTCAAATGTGACTTAATAACCAGATATCTTTCAAGAATTTTTACAACATAGGCCCATCTAAGTATTCAAATCAGGAAAAATGACTTTTAAACAGAATGAGTGTATTGAATCACTTGAGTCTCGTTACAAGTAAAATAATACTTTCAAGATCCATATCAACAAGATGATAATCAAGGTTTCAAAAGTTAGAAAACTAATTGAAAATACAAACTCTAAATTTTCATTGGAGTAAGAAGGGGCCAAGTGAAAATGCAGAAGACCAAGCTTTGCAATAATCTCAAAAGATATTGGTAAATTTTTGAAAATTACAAAGGAATTGAGGAATCTATTTTAGAAAAACAAATGATTACACGACTCGATCAGGAAATAAAGTTAAGCTAATACAGGGATAACTTCGATAAGAAAAATATTGCCACATAAAATATTGTCTGTACAACATACCCAATTGGTGCATCGAACCAAACATAGAACACTTTGTCTTTAAAGCCCTCCATGGGAACAGCTGTGCCCCATTTCAAATCACGTGTGATGCAGCGAGGCTTAAGACCTTCATGTAACCATCCTTTGGTGATGTTTTTGGAATTAGCAGTCCAGTTACCTATATAAAACGTGGAACAAATATCACAAGACTTGGTAAATTCAAGCCAAATAAGCTTGCGTAACATTCAAGATGATACAAGGTCATTTAGTTACACTGGGTCATTAAGTTACACTGGTGTAGTTGCAGATTCCAAATAAATTGGCAAAACAAAAGGGGCCCCTAAGATATCCTAATATTCATGTTGTTATGACTTCGCTTTAGCTGACCTTGTTTTCAACAATTTTAAAACTTCTTCAACTGAAGCAAATAACTCAGCCCCCCTAGTTAGCGAAAAACGAAAAATCCAATATTTTTACACTTTGCTTCTTTGTTCAATATGCTATAAACCAATGAATGCGACTTTACTGCAGTCCGTAGATTGAGTCTAATTTCAATCTTACTTTTAAGGGTCCCAAGTGCTTTTGTTATTCCACAGTTCATTGCATTTAAGTATCACAGATGCCTTCATAAAAGGTGAATTTGTCATAGAAAGGCTACCATTTCATGGGTTTTCTAGCAGGGGGTAATCATAAATTTAATACCAACATTAAAGGTTGCTGTAATGAAACTTCAAGCACAAAGGCATGATCTTTACGTACCCTTCTCCATGGATTCATCTGACCACTGTCTTAGTTGAGGCTCAATCTATATAGACCGATTAATACCATTTAGACAGAAGTATAAAACAGACTTCGACCCTTACACATTATCAATAGACTTAATTGACTTAATAAGCAAAAGACTTTATCTTGCCCAATGAAAACTGCATAAATAAAAAAATGCAACAAAATTAAAGCATCGTTTCATTATATTTCCTTTCATTATTAATTACAAAGAGCACTAAAATTTGGGATATCTATCAAATTCAAAGAGAAAGGACAAAATCATTAAATTTACTGGTTTCTCTACAATAAGACGGTTTTCAAATTAACGAAAAGTTTTTACAAGGTCAAATTACCTTTGGCAAATCCAAGAAAATATGTTTGCTTGTTCTCACTTTTGGTGTTGTGCCGCACATCTTACATCTTGGTGACTAAAAATGGAGAAAGGAGTGTATGAAACTCTAGTCGATACAGAATAAACTACCTACACTCGTGTAATTGCAGATTCAAAAAAGTAGCATGCAGATATTACTAATAACTTTACAAAAAGGACAGGATTATTTGAAAGTGTAGTATGAGAGTGCATAAAATATTATATTGTAAACTATCATGATTTTATTACGTCGATAATTGTAAATTTTTGAAAGTTACAAAGAAATTTGATTTAGACACTCAGAAGATGAAAACACGACTCAGGGACAAAATGAATCACCCGAACAAAACAGTCTGAGCAATGAAACATTCGGTAGAAAAAAATGATAAATTCACATCATACAATTTACGGGGTGACAATTTTTTTGATAAAAATCCAAGGGACCATAAAAACTGTGTAAAATCTATTACTTTTAACTGTTAGTTAAAAATATCAATACAATAACCACTCAGTCTTAGCTTTTACTGCTCTTAGATGGACAAGTGCCCCTCTATAAAGTATAAAAATTCTTATTTTTCTTACTGTTCTAAAAAAATAGTGCCCTCCGAATAATTCTACCCCTCCTAGAGCACAGTACTGATAATCAGGGAGGCTAAGGTGCTGTTCACAAATCTCAAAACATTGCAATTTTGTTCACTAAACAAAAATCCAATATCATTTCCTCTTTTTTCATTAATTCTATAATTTTCTTGTGAAAAACAACATCTTCATGGTGATAATCCATCCGATAGAAATCATATTGAAATAAAAAATGACTGCAACAGAAAGCAGTAATCGGGTTGACAGAAAAGGTAAAAATGGAGCAACGTCTTCTTTAAATTCAATTTCAACACAAATTAGAGCCAAAAATATTTTATAAGAAAAAGAAAAATGAAAATATTAGGTCCCACCGAGATTTGAACTCGGATCGCTGGATTCAAAGTCCAGAGTGCTAACCATTACACCATGGGACCTCCGACGAGGATGGGATTCGAACCCACGCGGGCAGAGCCCAATGGATTAGCAGTCCATCGCCTTAACCACTCGGCCACCTCGTCGATGCACACAAGGAGGCAAGAACTAGAAGTGATCTCAGTAAGGAAGCAGTTGAAAGTATTGCAGTTTTACAAGGAAAATATTAAACGGAACTATTAAATTTAATGCGAGGGATCGAAATCACTCTAAAATGCGTACAAATTCAGAAGATTGGGGTTATCGATGCTAGAAATTTAGCAACACTCAAAAGCCTTTTTTATCAACACAACGAGTGATGAACGTTCCTGGTCAGTAGCAAAAATTAATGATTTGTACCTTTAACTCTATAGCATTAATCAATTTGCCACATGCATCGCATTGATCTCCACGTGCATCCTAAAATAATAACTTCCATCTGAATATCTTGCAGTTGCATTTGATACGAGATGCCCCACCCCCATATAAAAAAAATCCAAGGAACCATTATAAAATTGAACAAAGTGAAATTTACAGCAAAAGATGCCATTTCTTCCACAGATACCAAAGTTGCAAGGAATACCACTACAATCTTTTCCCGAGGTTCTGTTAATTTTTTGTCCAAACAGGACCTTCGGCTACTCAATACTTTTAATCGAAACAAAATATTACTCAATGGGTTTACCTAATTGCGATTAAAGTCATTCTAAACATTAAAAAAGAAGCATAAAACCGATAAAGGACATAGGTTTGGGGGAGGGGGTAGCTGGCGAAATGTACAAGGGGCCCCTCTAAATGAGACCGATCATCTGGATTGAATGGTTACCAAAAAGGCAAATTCAGAATATTAGATGCCAACAACGACTTTTGCAGATTTTCAAGAGTGTAATAAAATTACTTGAAGTAAGAAATTAGAAGGTACCTCATAGCTGCAAAAAGGGCAAGTTCCTTCGACAAATCGATCAGCCAAAAATCTATAAAAGATTTTAAGGAACGATCAGCCGAGAATTGCATTGTTAATCGTAGAGAAATGTATGATTTTCTAACATATTGCTTGAAATAATAAAAGATAAAAAAAAGCTTGCTTCGTCATTTTTTGAGTAAAATAATATGTTGATAGACCAGCTTTAAGGATCTGGCATAGGGTTAATATAAATGCACATCAAATACGTGTCTGCTTACTGTCAATTCTAATCAAAAATTGGAACAAGCTCTTCAGAATTATTGTCCCATGCATTTCAGCACAAGTGCATCCAACACTGCAAAAGTTGATATATAGAATCCTTCCACTTCCCGATGCGATCTACCCTTCTACTCACCTACTACATTTGATGCACTGCAGCTGCTCAAGGGTGTCTTCAAGTAAAAATTTATTCTTCTCGATCTTCCAGAATATATCTTGGGCAATCCTTAAATAATATCAACAAAAAACTAATTTACTAACATGTCTACGGTACGCGAATACTCCGAATAAAGCAAGAAATCAAGAAAATGGTTCTAGAAATTCGAGGTTGATATAAACCAGACCCGATTCATTCGTTTGTAGTGTTCAGGATTACAAGCGGAGAAGAATCGTTAAACCTTCTTCTTGAATCAGAAGAATAACAGTCATCATAGAGATTACTCAAGAGACACTAACTGAAAGTTTACCAACGTCATCGAAAATGCAATGGATTCGCTTTGTTTTATGTTTCTTAATAGGTGTATCGTACAATACCTCATTTAAAACGTGTGCTGGTGAAACTTTTATGAATTGTTTCATTTTTGATAAAACTGTTTGAAAATATTTCGAGCAAAACTATTTCTTGCAGAGAGTATATATTTTTAGAGTATATTTATTTCCTAACTAAACATTTTAGATTACAATTCTGACTAACTATACTCTGACGGCGTAAAAAGGTTAAGTATGTCTTGATGTCGTAAAAAAGGTTAAGTAAGTATGCTTTTCACAAAGAAACTACAAAGTGCTATTCGTAAAATCTGAAGTTTTGCATAATCTTCGTAAAACTTGAAGGTTCGTAAAATCTGATGTTTTGCATAATCTTCGTAGAATTTGAAGGTTCGTAAATTCTGATGTTTTGCAGCATAAAATTATTACTTTATTGAAATTTATCCTGTGATAAACAAAACTTCAATAAGATACCATTTGAACAAGAGCACACCTCGTTTGTATAAACAATACTTTTAATCATCAAAATCCTTATGGGCAAACTCCCAGTTGTGGTAGGGCAGGGGAAGAAACAATTTTACAAAGCGTCAGTTCGTTCTTTGCTTATTTGCACCCCGTCATTAGTGGGGTTTCTGATGGGGTTACTATTAACCTAATTCTCTGGGGGCATCAGCAGCACTTTTTCAACATCTAAATAAACCATAGTTTCAAGGGAGGTAATTAAAAAGTAAAAAATATTAAGCTGCCGAGAGATAGTAAAATCTGACTTGTTCATGTGCAAATGCAAAACAGAAGAAAAATGACAAATTCAAAAAACAAAGAAGGGCAGAATGTTATCTGGGTCTCCATTCCTAGATCCTCAATTCAACTATAAACAGTGTTTTAAAAAATAAACCTAGTCTCGAAACGAAAATTGGAAGATAAAAAGCGAGAAGGTAAGATGTTTAAGACAGTATTGCCATACTTGGTTTGTTCTTCTGTGGTTGTCCTTCCAAAACAATCGAATTCAATATTAAACCATTTGTATATATCTGCATGTATCTTGTGATATTTGTCGCAAATTTGCTGAGGCGTTAGTCCCTCTTCGATTGCCTAAGGAAGAACAGAAACTTTGGCTAATTGAGATCGTACTCTAGTCTCTACTCTCTCACTATCAAAAAGGGAATGGTTTAGCCTGCTATGACGTATTAACCTAATTTTCTTTTTGTTGTTAACATTGAAATTTTTAACTACTAGGAAATATTTCCAATGGTAAGCAATAACATTGGACCAGACTTTTATATAGTTCTTTGTCGTCAAAATCCAAAGCTGCCAAAAAATCAGATGATTTATTTCTCGTAAATTGGAATAATTTTTGCTAGCCTGTCTCAAAACTTTTAGACGCTAAAATGACATATAACTTCATTGCATGGCAAGATATTATCATGGACTAATAACAATGTATTCGTGAAATGTATTCAGGGATATAAATCGACTTATTACCTTTGTTTCGGTTGCTGTACCATATTCATCTGTTCCACAAATGTAAATGATGTTATAATTACGAAGACGACAAAATCTAGGACAAAAATGTTTCCATGTAAAGCTACAGTTTGTTCTAAACCACACTATAAAAATCCAATTCACTTGAACTGTATTCTATCTTTCCAAGAAAATTCATAGCTATTACCTAACGTCTCGTATCACAGAGAACAGGCAGACAAGAACCCAGGTATCCTGAAAATGCTTATTTTAATTTGCATAGGAATTTAGCAGTATCTAGGAATATAATGGTATAGAATGTCTGTTGAAAAAGAGCAGTTCACCATCATTGGTTAAGCCTATTAATAGAAGTGAAGCTAGCTAGTATTATGTCGGTTGATTCCATTTAATACACTGACCTGGAATACACATCTCCGCTGAGGACACAACCAATGATGTTTCCAAGATGAGGCACATTGTTGACATATGGCAACGCACTTGTCACCAGCAGGTTCTTTTCACCATCTCGTGGTAATCTACAAAGATAAAAAGCCCAATATAATCATTTTTAACAGTTGCCTAAGCTGTAATCCCTAAATTGATACATTCTTGTTGATGAAAAACGTACACTTAATATATGGAAATCCTAAGTGTCCATATAAACAAACAAACATAGGCATTCCCTTCTTCAAATTTTCTTTTCCTTCTTGCCAACTTGCATAAGTCTAGTATATTCTTTTCATTTTGATGAAGAATCCGTCAACCAGTGCGAAGCATTCGTTAACATTTTTTTTTCTAATCATTAAACAAGGACACGCGTTGTTAAATAAATTTTCGCATAGTTTGACAATTTTTAGCACACAAAGTCATTTACTATACATATCATCATTCTACTGCACTATTCTGCCTATTATTATCCCTTTTTTTGCTGCAATATGTTGAGCTGCTTTTGAGCAAAACAATAGTCTTTTCATACAAATTATCAAATTTTATTACCCTTTTTGGGATGATTTCATAAAAACAATGACTAATATAGGCCAGAGGGTTTTTCAACCAACTAAGAAATAAGTTTGCTTACTAAATTTGCGTACAGTGATTAAAAGAACCGAGCAACCCATGGTACGAAGAACGACATAGCAAATAATACTCGATAAGTAGCGACAGATACCTTTAAATAGCCTTTTACTTACACAGGGGCATCATAAGTTCTTGGCTTGTGAATTCCTTTCCTTCCACTAAGCCAAGATGCCTTCGCAGCATCGATCTCTACTTGTGTTAGCCCCTCAGCATCCTGAAGTACAAAGGCAATATATATAATTTCTTAAGATTTTATAAAGACACCTTACATTTTTGGCCGATAGCCGAAGATAGTGTAAATATTTCTAGTAAAATTGTAGCGGGTATAGCATCAGCCTGTACCTAACTCTATATAGGCCTGTGATGGACCAAATTGCAACATATTTGGATAGCGCAGTAGCCAAGATGAATAACAGTAAATTTAGCATAAGCAAACACGGTCATTGATAACGTATCTCATTGAAAAATCTTTGAGTATTGTTTCAGCATGCGTAGTAGTATAAAATAATAAATGTTGTGTACAGACAAACCTCTTCACCAGGGGTATCTGCGGCTGCAACTAAAATAACAAAGATAACAAAGTTAAACTTGTTGTACAGGAATAATAAATAAATATGTTGGAAAACGAACAAGTTTACAAAAAGGTCAGTTCGGCACAAGAGGCAGCCTAAAACAGAGAAAGAATCCAAAAATACATTTGACTTCAATTTTTCGACACAAATCAAAACCCTTTATTCATTTAAATTTTTCGAAAAATGCTGCAGTCTACTGAAAACATGGCTTCTTGATAATTATTATCATTCTTCGAAGATTAAAGCCACTTATATGTTATTGTAACTTTGAGTCAAGAGTTTAGAGTAGTTGTTACTAGCGATAGTAAGCCTTTGGGAATTGTTTTCAAGTTATGATTATAAACTTTAAGTTTGAAAAGTAAAGAAGATAAAAATGCTTTGAAAAAAAGCATACTTCTTTAAACGTACATATTTGATTCTTTTTTCTGAAACGTCAGAGTACTGATAAAAATTCTTACTTAAATCAACATTTTTGCTCAATATTATGACTTTTTATACTCGAGAGTCAGACGAAAAGTTTAATTAAAATTTAAAATATTTCCTCTCTCAAAGCCATTTTTAAATCCAGTACCGCCAAAAATTGTTTAAAGCAAAATGAAAAAACTTTAAGAATGGTTCAAACATACATAGAGGGGCATGGCTCAAACAGCACAAACATTAGAATTTGATTAGTACTGTGGCTCATCAGCGGCCATTTTGAAAATAAAATGAGCTGCGGGTGCTACTTACCAGTCTGTCTCTCTCCACCTTTGACACCTGTACTCTTAGCACAGATAGGGGGCAAAACATATCCTTGCAACGAATCCTTAGACGAAACAAACAGGATTTCTTTTAATATGCTACACAATATTTTCAATAGAGAAGACAATCAATAAAGGTAAATAAAATAATTGATATTCCTGTGTGAGGTTGTTATAACTAACAAGTCACTAGAAATGTGTTTAATCCTAGCAGCTAGCAAGAAATGACTTCTCCTGTAATGGCACAAAGGTCATACATGTTTTGGCTGGTTTAACTGGGGTTTCGGAATAAATTCAATAAGATAAGAAATCAAAGGTTTTCTAATGCCAACCTACAAAGCCTCAATTTTCTTAACTGTGGATGTTAGGAAAAGATGCTTGCAACTCTTTTTTGATATCATGTTATAAATTCAAAAAACGTTAATTTAAAACGATTCCCATATAAATTATCTTTTCTCCATATGCTAGCACTCCACCATGCACAGTTGATAATGTTTCTTTGTAAAAATGTAGTGATAAGACGTATTACAAGAAAACAACAAACGATTAGAAGCTCACCCTAAAAGACAAGTTTCCTTTGCCCTTTGTCACATCTGAAACAGCTTTAACAAAAGTCTCTTCTGTGGACAATCTTTGAAACCATGACTCTAACGAGCTGTAGTTGGAAACTGCATCTACAATCAGCAAAAACATGCATATTTCTAAAAGCTACAGACTAACAGTTAAGAAGTGTTTAGCTTGTTAACTACCCAGAAAATGAGTGTGGACTATCAGTACACTTTTAACTGCAACATGTTGAAATTGATAATAAGGGACAAACGATCACAACAAAACGTGAACATAACTACAAGAAATTTCCAATTAGCTAATTCATAGACAGGTTACAAAAATCTAGTTGAGCATGGACCCAGGGGTGGACACTTGGTCAAATATTGGGAGGGGGCAAGCCTATTGTTTTAATAAGATGACGTCACATTTCCAATTGTTGTAGAACACAAGACCATTGTCCTCTAAAGTATTGCCCTTGCCCCTCAAGTGTCCGCCACTGCATGGACCCAAATTTCAGATATTGAATGCATCTTCTAATGCAGTAATAGCATGTTAGCATTTAGCGAATTCTTTCAAAAAGAATTGTAAAGAATACCAAAGCTTCCCCTGACTATAAAGAAATGAGAATGCAAGACTCTTTTACCTCGGTTTCCATGTAGAACACCAAATAGAGATCCCCAAACAACAATATCAGCAACCGAAAGAGTGTCCTGTGCAAAAAATGGCACCTCTTCAGTCACAGCAACTTTATGGCTTTAACAAATCTTACTGTGTAGTTGTACAGACAATATCAAGTTGAAAAAGAATATGTTCTGGCATAATATTAAACCAAAAGAAAAATGAATTTAGTAAAGAACATACAGAGAAGCTAAAAACATTGATGCATGCTCTTAGAGGGGCTTTCAATGGAGTCTTTTCGAAGAAAAGATTAAAAGATCAGGAAGAAAATGTGACAATAAAGTTGAGAAGGAAAGAAACTTGCAACAAGAAAACAAAGATGAAAAACAGGAAAATAATATATAAGAAACAAAGAAAACAAAAAGGAACAAAAGATAACAACAAAATATAAACAACAAAGTAGGAAAGGCAAAAAAGAGAAGTCAAGGAATCATGATTACTAATGAAATGAAAATCTCTGATTTACATACTCCCAAAAGATATTTTTTCTGCCCAATATTTCCATTGAGAGTTTTCATTGCATCAGATAGACTTCCCGAAATCTTTGCTTCTTTTCCACCACTTGCTTGTCCAATAAGAAAAGGTAATGTTGCTGGCTATAATGAGAACAAACATACAAGTTTGCTTGAGACAATGACAAAGCAGCCAGGAGAATGGAAAAAATGGCAAAGCAGCCAGGATATGACACCAAAAATAGTGGTACTCAAAGTCAGAATTCAGATAATATTATTCTAGAAAAACATAACACAGCGTTTTTCAAAGTCAGGCAATAACATTTAAACCTTAAACATTAGAAAATACAAGAGAATAAAATGTGTAAATGAAAAAAAAACATGTTCCATAACTTTTGCAAAAATACCACGCAGCCAACATTAAACAGTCAAATAACATGGCTGTATGTTTCTGACAAGGACTATACTTTTGAATAGCTTATTCATGCAAACTGACTACAAGAAGGGATACAATACCTGTAATGAAACAGCATCCCATTCAATCCATTGATCAGCCTCGGCATCTACACAACATCCCATGATATAGCTAGAAACATAACATTGATTAACCGCCAAAGTACAAAAAATTCAGTGAAAAAGAAAAAGCTAGTTGAAATGACTTGGTAACCACCCCTTTGACCTGTACTTCTGCTTTTGACAAGGCACATGCAGGGTTATTCAAATTCATGAAACTTGATCAAAAATTTTACCACAGACACAAAATATGAGAGATGTTACCCTAGAAGAAATATGTTCATTATTATACATTTTGGAGAATCAACATCATATAAAACACATCCTGTAAAATCCAGCAATCTGTATAAGCAACCAAGTTATGTTATACATGGTTTAACATAACAGTGTGTTTGCCGCATGAACGGCAAAAAACATGATAAGTATTTGAAATGTAACAGTAAATTTAATGATGCAAAGTCATCATTGATAAATGGCCTAGCACATATTGCTAGCTTTAAACTACCTAAAAAAAGAACTAAACATCATGGATGGAACAACACAACGTAATAATTTTCTTGTAAAACACAATCATAGCATTCAAATGAAATTTCAATATAGATTTGAGATGAAAAAACAAGCAGAGATAGAATACCTGCACATAGCATTTGGACTAACAAGGTATTGGCCATCATTTAGTTCAAGAATTGGTAACTAGAAAGAATCAGGTTATATTTAACTAGACCTGATAATTACAATAACTTTAAGAGGAGGAGGTATATCCTGTCAACTGGTTGTATTATATATCATTAAATTATATGGTACTTTATCAATTTACCAGCAGGTAGAGTTATAAAAGCTTCTAGTTAACATTGTAAATGTGTCATTCTTCCAACTAAAATGAATGTAAAGGAAGAGTAATAATCCATAGCAGTAACATATGAATTTGAAATAGAAATTCATAAGAAGCATATAAGATTGTTTTCTAGGATCATATAAGAATAATAAGGCATTCTGTCATTGATTCTTATTACTGAAAGCTATTATCAAACTTCTGCCTCAAAATTTAATTTAATCAAAGAATCTGACATGCAGATGAAAGTATATATTGGTTATCTTTACAAGTGTTTGCTTAAAACATAAAGCTAATCCAATGAGTAATTCTCTATTGTGAGCTATAATAAAAAATGCCAGTTAACTATATTTCATTCAATGTAGCGAATCCCGAAGATATTGGCAGTGGAGTTACATTACTTGGTGTGGTGGCAGTGTGAGGTAAGCACCTGCTGGCATTTGATGTGTTTAAACTGTAACTTTTGTTAAGTGGCCTAATTGTGCAGGACAAAGCTATTTTGTGATTGTTTGTGCATACTTTACATCATCCCATGTAAATGTGTAAATAAACTGCCTTAGAAATATGGGCTGGGGGGGAGAGGGTTGGTCAGTGTAATGAATGCATATTGATCTTGGCATACACATTGCCTTCCCTTGGCATATCTTTCGAGTGACTTTTACGGGCTGTTATATTTCAGACATCTCCAGTAAGCAAAAGGTAACATAAATCAAGGCAACAGATTATATACCTGAAACTGTCTGACAGCAGCAGGCTTCTTGAAAGCTAAAAACAAACGGAAATCAGACAGGTGGATTATAATATGCATAGTAGAGATTCACGCGACCTGGACTGGTGGTACAACTAGTCTACTTCGCAGAGATCTTTAATACTTACTATAGCTAACACGAGTAAACCAGACTTATAATATCAAGTTATAATATGCTAAAAAAGTCATAATATCAAATACTGCTTACTTTTCTTGTCGACAACTTTAATTTCTACGTCTGCCTTGGCAACATTGCTGGCCAGTAAAACTTTTAAGGTGAAGGGATTCCCTTCATCTGTAAACAGCTTCATTGTTCTTTCTCGCGCTGCATATGATGAATTCTGAATAGTTCTGTGCCTGAGAGATAGTCTTGTACTTTTGCACAATACTGCAAGACCTAGATGACTTGATCTAAACCTTGTAAACAGCACTGATCGGAGAACTTGAAACATAAATGTTCCCTCACGTTGACCTTAGGCCACCCTCAACTCATGCAAGCCTCCTAATCGAACAACTGCCTCGTATGCAGGACATTCGGCCTAAGATTTTACCTTGAGTGGTTAGAAGTTTCAACCTTCACAAAGTATTTTCAAGTTGCGTTTACACAAAGTATCGAGAGCTATCAGGACATTTGACAAAGGTAATGTACCTTGAAAGAAATCTTGTTAAGCTGCAGCCCTTCAAAGTCAAAAATAAAAGTGATATAATGTGTTAGAAGGAAAAACCGCAAGATGCGCCGGATTCTGTGAATCTTGCGATGAGTTTAAATACAAAGATAAAGTTCAGGAACAAAGCAAAACGGCGACGAGAATCCAATGAGAGAAATTTACAAAATAAATTGAATAGAACAAATACTACATTTCGCCCTGGCATACAGGGCTTCATCAGAGTGAACTTTGAAAATTTCTTAATAAAAGTGATAAACAGCATGAAGCAAATGTTACCACAAAATGTTTTTAGAGAAATGCATCACTTACTGTGAAAATTGATGGTGCAGCTTTTTGTTGCATTAATTAATGCATTAATGCAATGCTTTCTTGTTGAGCTGTCTGATCAAAATAGATCACAAAATGCAAGTTTATGATATGAATTCAAATCAAAAAATTTGAAAATAAGCTTCATTAAGAGAACTATAGAAGAAATGAATGATTAAATATTCTTCTGAGAAGTTTGCCTTAGAAGCCCTGCAATATTACCTCACCATTTAATAGAGGAAAGGGTAAGTCTAGGTTCATGGTTTTTACCACCATATGCCAGTGTGGAATCCATGTAGCTTACGCCAGAGATACCCGGCGTAGACTAACAACTTCTCGTTGTCTTTCTATTATTTATTGGCGTATGTCTGGCGTGAGCTTTGCATGGATTCCACCCTGGACCCTATGCTGTGAATCGTTTGACACAGTTGCTAGAGTGTTGATTTTTTTCACATGTGCTGAGAATTGTTTTTCACAGTTGCTTAATTACATATAATTATGTCAGCTCTTAAAGATATTTGATGCCTTACAGTTTAATATATTCTAAGTCTTACTTTTTAACAGATGGATGTGACAAATGAACCTGAAACCCAAGGTTTCAAAGAAGTAAAGAAGAAATCAAACCCTGTTGATCCTAGTATTCAGTGCTTGTATTCAAGAAAGGTATGCAAAAGGAAAAGGCTGAGAGGATTTGACTTCTGCCACAAGCATATTCTTGAGGACAAAAATAGCCCATTTCAGCAATGCAGCTTTATAATAAAGTCAACAGAAGAGAGATGTGTAAATCCAGCACCCAAAGCTGAGAATAAAAAGACGTAAGATTTTTATTACACTAAATAGAGCTAGAAATCTCTTCCTGCCTCTCAAGTTTGTAAATTTGCTAACAAAATCCTGAAAAGTAACAATTTATTAACATACCTTTATTCGAAAAGAGAGGCCACAATTGGAGTAACTAAAATTGTTTTAATCCAAAGAGATCAATTGTCTTTTTGAATAGTTTTGGAGAGCAATCTGCAGCTCTGCTCAAGTATTTAAGGTGAACCGGGAGGAGAGAAAGAGCTATGGCTCTCCTCAAATGCTCATTCGTGTTTTTTTTATGACAAAGGACAAAATGTATTTTTCCTTTTGAAGGTTTTGTTTAATTCACACAAGAGACCCAAAGTTAAAAAAGGCACATGATGAAATAATGAGGAGAAATTTGAAGCGCAAGTTGGACCAGAAAAAAGCTACAGCAGAAGCTAAAAGGTTTGCAACTCAGAGCTCCTCATCTGTGAGCACCCAGAATTATGGTGCAGAATCAAAGAATTTCAGAGATCCAGAGACAGATCAACTTTCAGGTGATAAATATTTTTTAGGTGATAAATATTTGTGCATGTCACGGATGCCATGCACAATTTTATCTTGTCTCAACAATGCAAAATGAGATAATCTGTAAAAAATTAAGTAAGAACTGACATCCTTTTGTGAGCTTAGGAAGCTTCTTTAAGATTCCAGTTTCTCAAGCACCCCTGGTTTTTATCTCATTGACAGTCTGGACTTTTATTTATGTCATCAATGCACAAGCCATTGTGTCCAAATTCACAGAATCTCCTTTTTTAACTCCTGAAAAAAGGAATCTGCCATTATTGCAACATTTTGATGATCTATCTTGAACCTTCTGTGTCTATGTGCAATGTTTTTCTCAAAAATCAAAAGGCTTTTTGTGGTAGCCCAATGTAATATGGAACCAACAGTGACTTGCATATCCATAAAACATTTTAGGAAATACTTATTCTAGTGTTTGTTTACCAAGAAGAGCTTGCTGAATTATGTTTTCCATTGAAAACATGGGTATTTTAATCAAAAATCTATTTAGCAACTTGTACTGCTTTACAGAAGTCAAAATTGTGTTTAAATCTAAGTGTTAAATTGTTCCAAATATATACATGGCATTGGAAATAATAAACTTTTATATTGTTGTGTCAGGTGTTCTTTAAGCCTTCTGTATACCTTGTGTAGCCTTTTTCTTTGAAATTCAAAATGCTTTCAGTAGTGACACTACGTAATACTGAACCATGCATAAATGGCAAATATGGCAAAAGGTAGCCTATTTGTATTCAACATCAAGTGTGCAATCGTGCAGCATATTAGCTTCCATTTGCTCATTTTTGTGAATTCAGGACTGGAAATGCGAGAAACAGATGGGATATATGCACTCGAGGATAATGGCAAAGCGAGATATGATGTTGCTTGGTTTGGTGAGAATGACAGTGATGCTGAGTCTGTGGACAGTGAGGAAGAAGATCCTTTACGGTACATTAAGTTTAATCTGAAATGATTTATGGAATGGCTTGAAAAAGCACAAAATACATTAAATTT